GGCACCCCAAGATCAAGAAAAAACTCTATCACAGGCTTTATTTTCCCCTCCAAGCTGTAGTAAGCAAAAGCTGGGAATTTGCGAGTAATTTCCTTAATTTGCTCAAGTTTTAAGCCATGCTCCATCAAGTAAAGAATCTGAGGTCGAAGCTTTCCAGTAGGACCTAATTCACTCACTCGAGAGACAGCTCTCAGCTTCTTTGTGTCAATTGTTGAATTCGAGACGGGAACTGTCGTAGTAGTCTTTTCCTTAATAGAACGATTCGGAAAGTTTTCCACAGCATGTACGAGATGAGTCCCATGCTCTTCAAAAAGAGACTCAAGATAAGGATTCAAAGCATCTCTAATCTCAAGTGTGGTCAACTCTCGCCCTGCATATTCATACGAACTATATTATAATTCTAGCAACAAAACTCTATGTCGAACTAAATCAAATTCACTGTGATAGGCGATACGATAAAAAGTACATTGAAATCGAACCTACTAGATACCGAGATTTATGAATCAAATGAAGCCTCAAGAGAAGATGATTGATGAAGAGATCAGACTTGTTTATTGTTCTTGCAGCAATTGCATTGCTTAAACCTTGTTTCTTTAAAAATAAGGTTAAAACTGCCTTGGCCTCTTCTTTTTCAGCAGTTAGAAGGGCTGGAGATACAACCTTTAAGTTCACCGATCCATCATCTATCTCAGAATCTGCTATATTCCATCATTAAAACACAGAACACAGCATGGTCGAGAAACCACAAGCTTTCAACAAGAGATTAAAACCACAAACTGAAGCACTAACCAAATTTAGCTCGGCAAGAAAAGAGTTTCCTTGAGAATGAAACCTGAACCCTATATAAAACAAAACTACTGAATGATCAAAAATATATATTCACAGACTCAACGAAAGGACAGCTCGTGCAGCCACTCTAACATAACATCATTCATTGAAGAAATCTCACAATAGCCATCAGGAAAAAAGAAAAACACGCAACTCCTGAGTCACAACTCACAGAGTACCTTTGAGTAGGAATGAGACAGTCATTTGGCATGAAGAAGATACGAGCGGAGCGTATAACACTGACACCACTCATCTTTAAGGTTTGGCGCAGAAAATCCCCTTATTGAGTGACTAAAATTGAACGGTACTCCACAGAGTTTGGATAGGGTAGTCTGTCAATTATGAAGCAGAAAGAATGAAAATGCATTAACAAAACTCTCCCAGAAAAAGTGACTTCTTCATCTTTGGAGTTCAAAATTTTCAAGTAATTGCAAATTGCAGATTTGAAGGAGAGAAAGAGAAGGGATGGATGGCACCTACCAATTTTGAAGCACTGCCGATGTTGGCTGCCGAAGAACAAGAAAAGCAGAGACCGGAAAAAGAGATTAAGATTGAGGGGCAGAGACAGAAGAACGAGACGAAGCTGAGATGAACCCTAAATTATGTGCGAGAGAAGAGGGGAGTCTGAGGTTGAGAGTGACACGTCGGATGGGGAAGATAAGGCAACTGGTTAAAATTATATATTTAAAATGTTGCTTTATTACGAAATTAGAAAGTATTATTATAAAAATATGAGAATATATTAAAATAAACTACCCAAAATAGTTTAATTAATTTTATTTTTATTTTTTATAATCTACATGTTAATAAAAAATTTTGAAGTATAATAATAAGTTTTATATAATTTGTTTTAATATTTTCTAACTCATTTTTAATACTTAAAAATCACTACCTGATAGGGTTCACTTTCAGCTTACTAATAAAAATATATATATATATATATATTTTAGTTATAAACTCACCAGCTTTTAATAATTTAATAATTTTCAAACAATAATGATGATGCGTCCAAATAGAACAATTAATTTCACTTTCTACCAACGTTGTACAATCAATTACCGCATGTTTTTCCAATGACAAGGACGTCTAAACTGGAAAGGTTCGATAGAGTTTGAGGCAATCAAGAGTTTTCTTCAAACCATACCGAGAAACTGCCCTGATTCCCTTCTTGAACCCAATTCTGTAGGCTTTTGAATTATTTGTTTCGATTTGGTGTATGAAACATTCTCCGAGTTTCTTCTCTATTTCACTCGGTTGCTCGTGCTTTTTCGAACGTCCAGGTTGCAGGGAGGAAGATAAAGAAGCAGCAGCAGCCATGGCAGTTTCAGACCCCACATTGATTTTGGATTTCAGCCACATGTGAGCTACAACTTCGCAGATACCTTCTTCAATTGGTTTACTTAGATTGGGATAACCTTCCAAGTGTAGCCAAGCATGCATCATCTCATGTGCTAGAACAGATCCTGTCAACAACCTGTACAAGAGGAAATGTGTGTCTATACATGTGAAAAATAAGTTGTTTGTTGTCTTAACAAGTAGTAGCTAATGTCATATTTAAATGGTTGAACAAGGATAGATGGATCTTTGTTTAATGGAAGGACCATTAAAAGCAAAATCGAGTCCTAAAGTAAGCAATATCGAAGATACATAAGAATTTATTGTCACAGCGAATATCGAATATCGAAGTTCTAATAAGTTTTAATTAATATGAATGTAACGGCCTAAGCCCACCGCTAACGAATATTGTCCTTTTTGGGCCCTCCCTTTCAGGCTTCCCCTCAAGATTCTTAAAACGCGTCTACTAGGGAGAGAAGGAATGCTTCGTTCCCCTCTCCGACCAACGTGGTATCTCAAGATGGGAACGAAGCATTCTTTACAAGGGTATGAAAATCTCTCCCCAGTAGACGCGTTTTAAAAACCTTGAACAGAAGCCTGAAAAGAAAATCTCAAAGAGGACAATATCGGGCAGTGATGGGGTTGGAGCGTTCTGGCGCATGAGCAGATTATAGTACCTGGGAAGGCCATATAGAACGAGTATAGCATCAACTTCCCTGTTATAAACAAGTTGAGGATAGGATTTGAGCATGTCCATGAATGAGAATCCTCCCATACTCTCCATCATACGAACCTACTTGCAATGATGATAATGATGATGATGAAATCAATTGGGTTGAGTGAAAGTAAGCAAAAACAGTGTAATATGTTACTGAGAGAGATGGAAATTCTAACAATGGGAATGGGGCGCCGTACTAGTGCGCACAACCCTTGAGTTCCGGATAGATGATGATGTGTCTATACAATCCAGACAAATGAATCCTAAAAAGGTAAGACCAATATATAGATATATATGAATGAAGAAGCAAAAGAATAGGCCAGTGTGTCCTCTTACGTTATCTTTGTCTTCACTGGGCTTGTTCAATGTCTCACTTGCGACCAACGCCAATGGAATCTTTTGGTCTAGTTTCATGTTTAAAGTTGCAAAGAATTGTTGTATCTCGAGGATAAGAGGTTGGCAGTCATTGATGTCCATGATCATGAAGCTGGAACACTCTGGACATAATCTCCTTCCATCTTCCAGTAAAATGAACTCCATTCCTGCTGATGCCTGCATCATGGAGTACGCTCACATTTGTGAATGTGGGAGAGACAGAGACAGAGACAGAGGGAGAGAATTACCTGTAATCTTTTACAGCTACAACAAGAGGAAGTTCCGTCATTTTCATGGGAAGGGCAGTATTTTTGGCCCCAAAAAGAATTCATACAACAGTAAACAGTCCCATCAATATCTGGGATCTAACAGCAACAACAGCAACACAAGGGAAAAACAAAAACCCATATGAAGATGGTAAGAAAGAATCAACAAAATCCAACCAAATCAAACCAACGTCTTAATTGACCTGTTACGTATTGGCATCAGCCTCACGATTTTAAAACGCGTATGCTAGGAAAAGGTTTCCATAAAGAATGTTTCGTTCCCCTCTCTAACCGACGTGGAATCTCACAATCCACCTCTCTTGGAGACCAATGCCCTCGCTAACACACTGACTAGTGTTTGGGTTTGATACCATTTGTAATAGCTCAAGCCTACTACTACTAGAAAAGTTCTTCCATTCTTCCAATCATCCAGATACCCAAAGAAGAGCAAAAAGAAAAGAAAGCTGAAAACAAGAGCACTTCCTCAATCATAGAAAAACACTCTCTTCTCCACGCCAAATATATACCAAACAAGCTCAACCACTAATCGAGTTGTTATTACTTGTACATCCGACCAACTAAATTTCAACTCATATGTTACTATGTTACATATTTTGGTAATACCGTCAATATTCAAAGAAAAAATCACAGGCATTTAAGATTTGAAATTACTTACAAAGTTGTTGCATAAATCGCATTTGACATGTTCCTTTTTGGTAGGACAATTTGTGTAATAAGGTGGATATTCAGGCATGTATAACTGTCATGTACCATGAGACATAAAACCATCAAGTTTAAGGATATATAATAATACTTCAAACATTTAACAAACTCCAACATTTCTTCCCTCCTTCAAATCTACCTCGCCATTATTGATTACTTGTCTGCGAGTATAGCATTTTACATGGCGACCAATACCATTCACACCCAAAATATGTTCGCCTCTGCTTCTCTCGGTGTTGCCTCGGACACAGACCATCCTACCAAATCATATCGAGTGTCAAAGGACCACGGTTAAGTGTTAGCAAGTCCTCAAATACGGAAGGATCCTACCATTCGAGCCAACTAGTGGAAAGATTTATCATCAAATACTTGAACAAAACATGAATCATTACTAGGGCTTTTCTTATAACATCCCTACTATTTCATATAACCTAGATTACCCCAACTTGAAATTCATAGCATTTATAAGAAAACCCATACCTTGTTTGGCTGAAACCAAGATCGATCCTACGAAGAAGGTGTTTTCAGTGGAGAGGATAAGCGAAGTATAAAAGAAGCAGGTCGAGTAATTATTGGGGCACCAGCCGCCACCAATAAATTTCAATGCAATGATTTCAAAGTGGGGTATTATTATTCACTTAAAATCATGTCTTCTTAGGAAAAATAGAGTCAAATTATTTTAACCCATTGTTTATTTAGGCACACAATAAATTTATCACGTTTTTAATTTCAGTTTTTTTTTTTTAATNTCCTAAAGTAAGCAATATCGAAGATACATAAGAATTTATTGTCACAGCGAATATCGAATATCGAAGTTCTAATAAGTTTTAATTAATATGAATGTAACGGCCTAAGCCCACCGCTAACGAATATTGTCCTTTTTGGGCCCTCCCTTTCAGGCTTCCCCTCAAGATTCTTAAAACGCGTCTACTAGGGAGAGAAGGAATGCTTCGTTCCCCTCTCCGACCAACGTGGTATCTCAAGATGGGAACGAAGCATTCTTTACAAGGGTATGAAAATCTCTCCCCAGTAGACGCGTTTTAAAAACCTTGAACAGAAGCCTGAAAAGAAAATCTCAAAGAGGACAATATCGGGCAGTGATGGGGTTGGAGCGTTCTGGCGCATGAGCAGATTATAGTACCTGGGAAGGCCATATAGAACGAGTATAGCATCAACTTCCCTGTTATAAACAAGTTGAGGATAGGATTTGAGCATGTCCATGAATGAGAATCCTCCCATACTCTCCATCATACGAACCTACTTGCAATGATGATAATGATGATGATGAAATCAATTGGGTTGAGTGAAAGTAAGCAAAAACAGTGTAATATGTTACTGAGAGAGATGGAAATTCTAACAATGGGAATGGGGCGCCGTACTAGTGCGCACAACCCTTGAGTTCCGGATAGATGATGATGTGTCTATACAATCCAGACAAATGAATCCTAAAAAGGTAAGACCAATATATAGATATATATGAATGAAGAAGCAAAAGAATAGGCCAGTGTGTCCTCTTACGTTATCTTTGTCTTCACTGGGCTTGTTCAATGTCTCACTTGCGACCAACGCCAATGGAATCTTTTGGTCTAGTTTCATGTTTAAAGTTGCAAAGAATTGTTGTATCTCGAGGATAAGAGGTTGGCAGTCATTGATGTCCATGATCATGAAGCTGGAACACTCTGGACATAATCTCCTTCCATCTTCCAGTAAAATGAACTCCATTCCTGCTGATGCCTGCATCATGGAGTACGCTCACATTTGTGAATGTGGGAGAGACAGAGACAGAGACAGAGGGAGAGAATTACCTGTAATCTTTTACAGCTACAACAAGAGGAAGTTCCGTCATTTTCATGGGAAGGGCAGTATTTTTGGCCCCAAAAAGAATTCATACAACAGTAAACAGTCCCATCAATATCTGGGATCTAACAGCAACAACAGCAACACAAGGGAAAAACAAAAACCCATATGAAGATGGTAAGAAAGAATCAACAAAATCCAACCAAATCAAACCAACGTCTTAATTGACCTGTTACGTATTGGCATCAGCCTCACGATTTTAAAACGCGTATGCTAGGAAAAGGTTTCCATAAAGAATGTTTCGTTCCCCTCTCTAACCGACGTGGAATCTCACAATCCACCTCTCTTGGAGACCAATGCCCTCGCTAACACACTGACTAGTGTTTGGGTTTGATACCATTTGTAATAGCTCAAGCCTACTACTACTAGAAAAGTTCTTCCATTCTTCCAATCATCCAGATACCCAAAGAAGAGCAAAAAGAAAAGAAAGCTGAAAACAAGAGCACTTCCTCAATCATAGAAAAACACTCTCTTCTCCACGCCAAATATATACCAAACAAGCTCAACCACTAATCGAGTTGTTATTACTTGTACATCCGACCAACTAAATTTCAACTCATATGTTACTATGTTACATATTTTGGTAATACCGTCAATATTCAAAGAAAAAATCACAGGCATTTAAGATTTGAAATTACTTACAAAGTTGTTGCATAAATCGCATTTGACATGTTCCTTTTTGGTAGGACAATTTGTGTAATAAGGTGGATATTCAGGCATGTATAACTGTCATGTACCATGAGACATAAAACCATCAAGTTTAAGGATATATAATAATACTTCAAACATTTAACAAACTCCAACATTTCTTCCCTCCTTCAAATCTACCTCGCCATTATTGATTACTTGTCTGCGAGTATAGCATTTTACATGGCGACCAATACCATTCACACCCAAAATATGTTCGCCTCTGCTTCTCTCGGTGTTGCCTCGGACACAGACCATCCTACCAAATCATATCGAGTGTCAAAGGACCACGGTTAAGTGTTAGCAAGTCCTCAAATACGGAAGGATCCTACCATTCGAGCCAACTAGTGGAAAGATTTATCATCAAATACTTGAACAAAACATGAATCATTACTAGGGCTTTTCTTATAACATCCCTACTATTTCATATAACCTAGATTACCCCAACTTGAAATTCATAGCATTTATAAGAAAACCCATACCTTGTTTGGCTGAAACCAAGATCGATCCTACGAAGAAGGTGTTTTCAGTGGAGAGGATAAGCGAAGTATAAAAGAAGCAGGTCGAGTAATTATTGGGGCACCAGCCGCCACCAATAAATTTCAATGCAATGATTTCAAAGTGGGGTATTATTATTCACTTAAAATCATGTCTTCTTAGGAAAAATAGAGTCAAATTATTTTAACCCATTGTTTATTTAGGCACACAATAAATTTATCACGTTTTTAATTTCAGTTTTTTTTTTTTAATTAAAATATCAAAAGTTTTTTCTTAATTCCGAAGAAAAAAAACATAAAAACAAAGGCATTGGTCAAGACAGAACAGGATGTCGCTAACCACGTGGCACTAAGGAAACAATTGCCAACCCATTTGCACCGCGGTTCCCACGTGGCCATGGGCCACGTAGTGCCGGCAGTGCCACGTCGAATATGTATCTGCTCAGAGGACCACCTCATTTCGAGGAAATTAGTAGGTGCTGTTTTCCACGTGGGCCCACATTTAAAAGCCCAGCTAGGCCCAACTTTCACTACCTTCGAATATTATATCACTTTCCTTTTTCCCCTTTTAACCTTTTATTTTCTTATTATATTCCCAATTTTTTAAAAAAAGTTTTTAGTAGATTAACCAGAAAATATGGTGTACTTTTATTTTTCACAAAATCCCATAATTATTTTGTAATGATTTTAAATGAAATAAATATATGTAAATAAAAAAACATGTCCGAGAATTTCTGTCCCCAAATTAATGTATTAGTATGAAGAAAGTGACCTAGCTGAGACGACATGGAGGGCTGTTGGGTTCACAAATTCCAAGAAACATTGCACATCTCGTTGCTCCAATTGCTCGACTATAGTTTAAAAAATATAAAATCGTAAAAGATTATATTTAAAGTGAACAACATCATAAATATAATTATGAAAATGAGTATAAAAATATTCACACCACTCGTATCTCAAAATATCTAAGAATATACTCTTTCATTAATAATGCAAATATTTTTACCAAGTCATTAATTAAATAATCCATATTTTAATTTTAATATTTTAATTAGTACACGAAATGTAATGTCACATTTTTAATTAGTTTGAAAACTTCCTCTTTTTGGACTTGAGATGGTGACATCAAAATGCATTTTTTAATCGTATTTTGTGCATATTTGTCTTTCTTTAGATTGACACTCAAACTTTTTATTTCATTTTTTATATCCAACAAAACTTAAATTTATATATTTTATCACAATTTTATTAATTTCTTTCCAAATATATATGAATTGTCATATTTGGACCACATGGCAGAAATTAAAGGAATAAATAATGGCTTGCCAATTTTTTTGGCTTACCTTTTATTTTATTGACACTGGAGGCACTTTTTAGAGAATTATATTCATTTTCTTTTATTATTGTTATTATTTTATTATTTTTAATAGTAAAAGTATGGTATAATCGAAGACAACAAAATTTTCACATTTTATTTTTATAAAAATGATATATTTTTCAAACCATTTTAGTATTTAAAAATATTTTTAGATATAATTAAGTCTTATCTTAAAATTTAGAAGTATTTGTATAATTTGAAGTGAGAGAATAAAAAGAGAGGAGAGAGAGAGAAAAAATTGAAGCATAGTGATGAGTTTGATTAAAGAAAGTAATCCATATGATTAGCTTAATTAAATGTATAAAGTGGTAGTTATAGCAATACATCATTAGGTAAGCCTCGCTGTTTTCTTCCACAAAAAAAGATACACATTTAATTATTTTGTTCATTTTAGATGCAAACAAACCAATTGGATGTAGTTAATATAATTAATTCTAACTAACATTTATAATTTAGCTCAATGTATTATCTACTTCTCCAAACTTTATAATATGTCCCATTAAATGGTTTATATTATAGTAACACGTGGCATGGTTTAATATATTTTAATAATCACCTGATTACACCCACAATATTTTATTATAAATTTATTTGACTAAGATAGAAAATAAATATTTTATTTATTTTATAATCCCAAATCATAGGAATTATAGTTTTTTAATTTGATTGTTTAATTTATTTTACATAAATAAAATATTAAAATATAGAACATTAAATTAAAAATTACAATTTAATTTTTAAATATACCAAGATATTACGTAAAATAAATGGTAAATTTGTTTCTAATATATTAATGTTAGATTATTTCACAATATTTAGTTACAAGGACAGGATTTTGTTATATTTGTAGTATTGAATGCTTCCTCGTACTTGAATTAAAATTTATTTACAACTTGCAATTATTCCACGTGTCACTAGCTTCACACACAAATATAATTATAATTAAAGTTTATTAATTATTTCCTTTCATTTTTATACCAATCTCATCTTTTCCGTACATATTTTACATTTATAAATATTAGTGAGCAAAGTTTTTATTTTTAGTGATATACCCTATCTTCAATTTTTTTAATTAATATATTTGATTTTTTTATGTTAAAAAAATAATTAAAAAAATAAATGTTGTTTGAATAATAAATAAATAGCAAGCTACCATTTTATAATCCAATCTCCAACAACAGCTACAACTACCCGTATATAAAACATAATTGATATCATTTTTAATTTATTGGATAATTATAAATAGAGAATTCCAAATGACATGCACACGTGCGTAGCCCCTTTGCACGTGATTTTGAAGGTGGAAGTTAAATAATAATATTGAAATTAGGTCTTGGGAAATGATGAGGTGTGGCCTTCAAGCGTGTGAGGGAGGGTGGGATTCACGTGAAGAGCCCACCCCAAAAGGTTCACACGTGAGATTCCAAAGGTTAGGTTATCTTACAAAAAAAAAAGAAAAAATCGTATTTCTATCCTTTTCCATTTAAAAGAATAAAAACCAAAGGTGTAAAAAAGGATGAATTTAAATAAAATTTAGAAAGGATAATTAAATTTTATAAAATTAAAATCCTAAAAAGTAATTAATTTTTTCACACTTTATTTATTTATTTATTTTTGTGGTGAGCTGATATTTGTCAATTTAGTTCACTTTTTTAATTCTACCAATATTTCCATTTAGTGTAACACTATTTACGAAATGACCAAACCAACCCTACCAACTAAATCACATTAGATGAAATAAAGGTTTTGACAGGGGCATTATGGTCAATTCAGGAGAAGCTAAATTGTAAATTTGAGATAAGGTTTTGAGACGACTCTATGTTGTCCCCATCCTTTATTATATTCCGCATTCGGTTCCCAAATGGGTTTTGCTAAAATAACCATCACAGGTCCAATCTCAAAATATTAATAAATATCAAAATAATTTAAATCTTATTTTCCCACCCAAAGTTTTTACATTTTTCAATTTCAATCATTCCACTTTTAAATTTTGGTCCCCATATTTTTTTTTTTGAGTCAGCCCAAATGTCCCAACTCCTCAACTTAATTCATTTGGGTCCCCATATATTTATTAATACTTATTTTTTCTTAATTAACTTATCAATTTAAAGCTTTATTAAAAAAGAATGAAGACAACCCTAAATTAATTTTAATTTGGTCTGAATTTTAAAATTTTTAAAAATAAAAAAGAAAAAGGAATGTTAAAATGTTACAATTTTGTTATTTATTATTATACATTTATTATTTCTCTCTCCTCAAAATAAAATAAATAAATAATTCAAATAAGACAAATGGAGCAGGAAAAATTAAAATTAAAAAAAAAAAGAAAAAAAAAAGTAAGGATGTAAAAAGAAAGAGGAAGGCGCGGGAGGAGAAGAAGAAGAGCGACCCTCTTTTTGTGTGTGCGCTTTGTTGTTAGAGAGAGAGATATACCCAAAAACCAAAATTCAGAAACAAAAAAGAAAAAGAAAAAGAAAAAGAAATTCATCTCTTTTTTCTTCTTTGATTCATGAATTCAAAATTAAAATTGTGTGTGAAGAACAAGAACAATTCTAAATCTTCTTGTTATTATGTGATGATATGGGAATCGCTAAGGCTCCATTGATTTTCTCCACTAATTCTTCTATGTCCCACCATTTTCATCATCATCAACTCAAGATTAATCTCCTCCCCCAACAGATCCGCCCTCTCCACTCCTTCTCCGACTCAATTCCGCCGTCTACCGTCGCCGGAACAGACCCACAACTTCATCATGTTTATGCACCTACACCTACTCCCGGGACTATGTTATCAGAAATCTTCAACTTCCCTCCACCTTCTTCCTCTGCCGTCGTTGAATTCTCCGACAATTTCCCAACTTTACGCCCGCCCAACTCCGTTGCGCCCATGCCGCTTTTTCTCATGAACCCTCCTCCGCCACTGCGATCCCCATCGTCGCCCTCTACCTCCTCCACTCTCCACATGCTCCTACCCAACCCACATGGGGGTTTTCAAGGCGGTGTTGGCGTTGGAGATCAAACGGAGTTTGGTCAATTTGTCGTCGAAAGTCGAGGTCTTTCGCTCTCGCTTCATTCGTCGGACAGTGGGGTGAAAGGTGATGAATTGGGAGTTAGGGATGGTGGGGTTTTGTATAGTTATAACAACAACAACAACAATCAAGTCGGGGATGGAGGAAGTGGATCAACATCCTCAATTTTGCAATATTCTTTGAAAAATAATTCAGAGAATTCTCCTCTTGCTTCACAAATTATGAATCCCAATCATCAAGTTCAAATTGGATTTGGGTCATCTTTGGAAGTTGTAAATGTGTTGAGGAATTCAAGATATGTCAAACCCACACAGGAATTACTCGAGGAATTTTGTAGTGTTGGGAAGGTTCAATTCAAGAAGAATAAGTTCAATACTGAAACCACCGCCTCCGCCACCGCCACCGCCGCCGGTGGCTCGTCATCGTCGTCAAAAGTTCAACCTCCCTTATCGGCTGCTGACAGAATTGAACATCAACGGAGAAAGGTCAAACTATTGTCCATGCTTGATGAGGCAAGAATCTCTCTCTCTATTATTTTTTCTTAATTTCACATAAAAATTGAATCTTTTTATGAATTAATTTCTGGGTAATTGTTCATTGATTTGTTAAAGTTTAATCACTTGAAATGCCGGCTGATCATCAATGATTTTCCACACAAAATAATAAGCTACCAGGTTGGTAGGGTTAGATTATTTCACAACATTTAATTGGTACCCAACAACTCAATACTATATAGATATTTAAGTTTATAAAATTAAATAATATTCATATAGTTGACCCAAATATAGCTACCTAGAGAAGCAATTGATTTCATTAATACATTAATCCTTTGTTTTGGATGTTTTTTTGTCTGTATTTGGATAAGAAACAATGGCGGGAAACACTAAGGATTATTAAAATTAATGTTTTATTCATATTTTAATTCAGGTTGAACGGAGATACAACCTGTATAGGGAGCAAATGCAAATGGTAGTGAACTCGTTTGACCTGGTGATGGGGTTCGGGGCGGCAGCGCCCTACACAACATTGACGCAGAAGGCGATGTCGAGGCACTTCCGGTGTCTGAAGGACGCGTTAGCAGATCAGTTAAAGCAGAGCTACGAGGCGTTGGGGGAGAAAGGCGGCAATGGAGGCTACGGCGTAACAAAAGGAGAGACCCCAAGATTAAAGCTTCTGGAACAGAGCCTCCGCCAGCAGAGGGCTTTCCATCAAATGGGTATGATGGAACAAGAAGCTTGGAGACCACAGCGTGGCCTCCCTGAACGATCTGTCAGCATTCTCAGAGCTTGGCTCTTCGAGCATTTTCTTCACCCGTACGTGATATTACCCTTTTCATGATTTCGTAATTATAGTTCAAAGTTTGCATCTTTTTCATTGATTACACCAAAAAGCTGGGTTTTTTTATGGTTAATTATAGATTTTTGATGATCTCAAATTATGGGTTTTAACCGAAAGTCTGTTTTAGAATTGGGTTTGTGAATATATATATCCATATACAAGAACAGTAATGCTGTGGTGAATTGAAAAGGAAAAGGGTACATAAAGGTTGAGTGTTAGATCACATCTTAGAGAAAAAGAAAGAGCAATGGAGATAGAATCTGATGAGAGAAAAAGGGGGCAAAAGAAACAAGGACTGTGATTGTCATTTGTTATGGTGTTTTTGTTCAGGTACCCCAGCGACGCAGACAAGCTGCTGTTAGCTCGACAGACTGGTTTGTCCAGAAATCAGGTTCCTTTCTCTTTCCCCACTTTTTAACCTGCATTTCAACTGCACACGATTACACACCAAAACCATCAACGTTTTGTACACGCACAAGTTGAAAGGCCAAAGGCTAAAAAGTGTTTAGAGAAACAAGGAAAAAAACAAGCTCCCTTGGTTATAATGTGAATGAAAATGGAAATTTTCAAACTTGCCCTCTCTCTCTCTCTCTCTAGTTATTATTCTTTTATGACATCATTGTGTGTGAAAATGGCCAAAGTAGAAGGACAATAAGATCCCTAGATGAATTGTCTTGCATCCGTCATAACTCTTTCGTCTAAGAGGGATAAGTTATTTCGTTGGTTGCCATTTGTGAGATCCCACGTTAGTAGAAGAGCGGAACGAAGCATTCTTTAGAAGGGTGTGGAAACTTGTACCTAGTAGACATGTTTAAAAGTGTGAAGGGAAGCCTAGAAAGAAAATCCTAAAAAAAGACAAGATTTGTTGACGGTAGATTTGAGCTGTTACAAATGGTATTAGAGGTAGACACATAGCGGTGTGCTAGCGAGGATACTAGCCTCCAAAGGAGGTGGATTCTGAGATTCCACGTCGATTGGAGAATGGAACGATTGGGTTGTTACAAATGCTATCAGAGCTAGACACTAGGTGGTGTGTTATTGAGGAAGTTGAGCCTCTACGAGAGATGGATTGTGAGATTTTACATTGTTGAAGAGGGGAACAAAACATTCTTTATAAGAATACCTCTCCTCAACACTAGGTGGTGTGCCAACAAGAACACTAGGAGGGAAATAACATTGGATAGTGTGCTAGCGAAACAGCTAGGAGGGAAACAAAACATTCCTTATAAAGAAATCTCTCCCTAGTATTAGGCGGACATTCGGCTCTTAAGAGGGTAGATTGTGAGATCTCATATGGGTTCGAAAGAGGAACGAAACATTCCTTATCACGAAACCTCCTTTGGAGTTGTTTTAAAACCTTGAAAAGTCTGAAAAATAATATCTAACTTAGATTATTACACCATAACTGAAAGTGTTTTGTTTGTTTGTTTGTTTTTGGTTTAAAAACTTTTGACAGGTCTCGAATTGGTTCATTAATGCAAGAGTTCGGTTGTGGAAACCAATGGTGGAAGAAATGTACCAACTTGAAGATAAAGTCGAAACAGACCATCATAGTGATCATCAAGGATCAGAAGACAATAACAATCAAACAAAAAACAGTGACATGAATGCACAAAATCCAACACCCACCACTTCCTCTGCTGCTCCACTGCCACCAGCCACCACTGCCGCCGCCCAGCAATTAACAGCTGCTTTCACGGCGACGCATGAGTACTCAGAGCTTCATGATGTATGGCGACATGGAAGTGGAGATCATCAACATTATGAGACTGTTACAGGGACTGACAACATGAATAATAATCATGGACCAACACTTATAAGGTTTGGCCCTACTGCTACGGCCACCGGTGACGTGTCTCTCACTTTAGGGCTCCGCCACACTGGAAACACCTCCTCCTCTGCCGCCGCCGCCGCAGATAACCCTTCTTTCTTCCTTAGAGACTTTGGTCACTCTTAGAAGAAATTAAAAAATCCCCCTATGGATAATGATCAACAGATTAAAATCACCCCCTTTAACTAATGAATATATCATGGTCGAATGGCAGTATCAGTACGTAGCTGCATTTGTATAATTAGGGCTTTCATTTGTGGGGTTAATTAAATTATTGTTAATTGTATAGTAGCTTATCTTAACTATCTTTTCCCCCTCTTTTCTCTCTCTTTCTGGTCTACCTATTCTTTTCTCTCTCTCTCGTTAATGAATATATATTTATGTCAAATTAATACAGTTAAAAATCATGACTCCCCCATAATGATATTATTCATTTTGAACATAAGTTATGATGACTTTGTTTTGGATTTCTAAAAATATCTCATATAACATTACAAAGAATATATGATAGCATACAAAAAACGCTATCGTATATTTTTTATACAATTTTTTTCGTACATCGTGACAGTTCATGTTGTTAAAAGGATAAGTATATAACTATACCTTCTATTTATTACTATAAAAACATTTTACACCGTTTTATTAGAGCTATAATATGTTTAATATAACTAAAATATTTTCGTCTACTCTCAATCCTAACAAATAATATAATAAATTTACGTCATAATTTTCCGGATTAATGAATTACATTATAACAACCGTTAACTAAAACATAAAAAAATGGAAAGAGGTTGGAATTCCCTAAAAAAAAATGGGAAGAGAGATGAAAAAGACAATAATACTGTGGAAGGTGAAAATCCCACATCGGAAAGAAGTTGCGGAGTGAATCTCTCCTGCACCTATATAATGCCATCAAAGCCCACCCATTTCTTCACGGAGCCGTGCGGTGAGCACAAAGCGAACTATTCTTTCGCCTTTTACTAAAGAATACCGTGTGCTCGCCGCTTCAAGCGGCATACGCCTATTTTTGGAGGGGATCTCTCTCATGAGTGGGGGTCCCCACATCAATCTTAGTTTCAAAATAGTTTTCAACAAATCTGGGTAGTCCCAGAATATTTTTAAGTAAATCAGAGCAGCGGTTGAGATAAGAAACGTAATTCAATAATTAACACATTCCGATATTCCTATTTCTAATTTTCCATGTGAGAATATAAGGATATAAAAAAAAAAATAATCTAATGTAATTTTGGATGAAATAAATTAAGAGCTCCATAGAAAGAAGAACAAAAGTACAGAAAAAACAGACAGCTACCTCTATCTTGGTGTTACACTTAGGTTTTTCACTTCAACAAGGATGAGTAGTGAAAACAGAGATGCAATCAGAGTATAAATGCACATCTAGCTTATATTACTACGTACAAACTTTAACTTACAACAGGGTGATCTCGGAACGATCTTGACGAAATCCCGACGAAGCTCGAAATTCATTCAACATAAACCATAAGCAATAAACTCAGCAGCTATATTGCCCAACCAATGGTCAGTTTTATAAGTATGGTGATTGTCAAGGCTCACACTGGGGTATGATTGAGCAATCTTGCTGGTGAATGCTTCCTTGAGTCTCAACGTAAGGTCGAACGAAGGTCCGACGCCACCAAACCTCGAACGCTCTTTGGAGATTCGGGCAACTGTCCCCAACCTTCAGAAAACTGCTCAACCATGTCAGCATAATGCTCTGCTGATCCTCGAGTGGGAGAGTGAGGATCGTTCGACCAATTCCTTCCTCCACGACCTTTCGATCAAACGACCCACAACTGTGTCTTAACCAGCTATAATCATTGATCAATGGCTCTAACCATGTATGTAACAACAATTTACGAGTATCCTTGGCTGGTAACAGCTCTCCTTTGCCAATGCCAACAAATAACCGAGCTGTTATGCAGCTAACACGATAGCGAGATACGACAGGCAACTTCCCATGGAGGGCTGCTAGTTCCTGATGCTTCGACCACATGACTGCAAACTCATCGGCCGCTTGCCTGTCAGCTAATATTTCAAGCAACCATGACAGATTATCAGCCTCTAGAGTAATTTGCTTCACCACTGGTTCTTTCCTGTCACTAAAATCTGTTTCAGCAGCCTGCTGAAACAGGAACAATAGCGATGTCAAGCAGCTTCTACAAGAAGAGTATATAATTTCATTGCAAATATCAGCTGAACTTGCATGGCTTGGTACATTCTGGTTCTCCCTAAGAAGCCTCAGTACTACCAGTTTCATTTCACGACGCCCTCTCTCCTCGTTGCTTCTAAGAACGAGTTCGATGATATGAGAAAGAGTATCGTTATGGGGCTTCGACACATTCGCAGACACTCGCTTCAATACCGGGCTCACCCCAATGCCCTCACTTTGAAGTCGTAGGATGGACGTGATAACCTTCTCTTCTTCTTCGTCACCAATCCAAGGGGCTGCTTCCAAATATTCTAGACACGACTGCATGCATGACTTGAAACCGAGACATTCAGCAACCTGAAAAACAAGCATTTTTGGTAAGTTTTATACCATTACAAACACTTCAAAGAATTCATGATTTTAACCGCCCAAGTTCATCATTAGCAGATATTGTCGACTCTGGCTTGTTACGTATAGCCATGAGTCTTACGGTTTTAAAACAGGACTGCTAGAAAAATATTTCCACACCCTTATAAGAAATGTTTTGTTTCCCTCTCCAACCGATGTGGGATCTCACAATGATATTAAACAGAAACAGGATCTTTTACAATCACGAAACAGCACAAACAATCAAATGACTATAAGGAAGTTGTTACCTTAAGAATTCGCAGAACACGAGAAACATTTTGCTTCATCAGCCATTGCTTCATTTCTTTGCAGTACATCAATCCCACAGTTTCAACATAGATTTCAACATCTTCACAATCACCAATTTCCAAAGAAGAATCTTCATGATCAGAAAGTTTGATGGCAAAAAAAGTGCTATTTTCCATCAAAACATGTTTATGAACACTCAACTTCACTGAAAATCCTTGCTTCCCAACTAAAACAACCTTAATATCACTTGTCCCTGCCTCACCAAACTCAATTGCTATTTTCCTAGGCATCTTTTCAACCTTAGGCCGTGATGCCCTGTGTACAACCTCTGAGGCACCATAGCCAGAAGTATCAGCATTGCCTTTCCGGTCATCGTCACGAACAGCAGCTGCCCGTGGCTTCCTATCAGCCACCGGGGTCGGTTTCGTCTCAACCAAGATCTTTGGGGGCAGGGAGGCAGGTTTGGGTTTGTTTAGGGTCTTTTGGAAGACAACAGGAGAAGGGCAGCACCAAAAACCTTCTGGGGTTACAGCAATTGGCACATTTTTAATCTTGGTTTGGCCTTGTTCTAATCTAGCTAACCTTATTTCAGCCATTCTTATTGATTAATTGCAGCTTGTTTAACAATGGGAAAATGGATCATTAAGAACAAACCATCCAGTGCATCAGAAAAAGATATGTAACTCGAAGATAACAGAGAAAAGCAAGATAATGGAAACTTACAGCCTCCTACTTTCTGAATCAAAGATTCCAAGCTTTGAACTGAACTAAGACTTTAGTACCCAATTCATAATGTTCTTCAGAATCATAAGCATTCAAACCATTCCCAGCCTCCAATTCATTTCGAAGAAACCCTAAAAAACTCGAACACAAAACTCATAACCATCTGTTGAAGTGAAGAACTGAGAATTCTGAGAAAACCCACCTCTTATTGATGATTGAAAAGCGAGGTCCGGTGTTAAGCATCAAGGGAACCAAGGAACAAAGGCTTGTAAGTGGAATAATTAGCGAAGAAATGGTTTTAACTTTGTGTATTAAAGAAAAGATGAGAAGACCCACAAAGGAAAAACGAAATGAAAAGGAAAGAGGTGGGAATTGGTGCTTTATCACTTACCAATTTGCATTCATCTCACTTTTGATGATTGTTTCTCCATGTGGGTCTTTCAGAACACCTTTTTGCCTCTGCAACCTCTCTCTGTTTCGCACCCACAAAGCCTTCTCAGTAATCAAACAGGCACGCCCCTTCTCCATACAGTGACTCAAAGACATTGCTGAGATTGAGAGCAACAATGGAACATTTTCTCTTCAAATTTCTCGGGGAAAGCTATAGATTAGTGATTTGGGTTTGGAGAGAAGCGAATGTCGTGTTTTGAGCTTCACTTCACTCCTCCATTCCCCTTGTTCTTACATGTTTTGTTTGCTAACTCTGATTTCGAAATGATTAGAGTTGGAAATCAAATTAAAACACTTTGATTAATATTAATCACGACCCCATTTGTTAAAACTCAAATTTCATAAACCTCTCCTCCAATCAAAACTTGTTTTTATGATTTCTTGTCAAAATTCCATTTTTTTTTTTAGTTATAATTAAAATTCAAAGCTTCTTGAAGATATTTGCTATCTTCTTTACAGTTTTGCATAGAGAGAGAGAGACAATATCACCATCATGCAGATAGATCAGATACAAAATATGAAACATTGTCTTAGGAAAGCTTTGTGTGTTATTTATTTATTTATTTATTTATTTATAATTTTTAGTTTTGATTTCTGGGTATTGTTGATGAAGAATTATAGCGTGGGACTTGAGTACAATTATTGAGGGTCATATTATTTCTATCTTTAATGGAAGTAAGAAATAATTTTAAATAATTATAATCATCATATGCTATGATTTTGAGAAGTCTTAATTTTCATAAAAAATGAATCTTTACTTCAATAAGTGATTTAATCACAAAATTACCTTATATATATATAAACTCACAAAAAAAAAAAAAAACATGAAACTAAATCAAACTTTAAGATGACAATGCTAGTAGAGACGAGCTGTTACGCATTGTGAGTCAAATTCATAATTTTAAACATATGTTCATTAGAGAGAAGTTTCTGTACCCTTAAAAGTAATGTTTTATTATTTAATCGATGATCTAAGATCACACATTCACATTGAAATTTAATTAAAATATAATTAGTTCAATTAGGAGAATTTAAATGGTTTAATAAATGAGGTAGAAGAGGGAAATAATTGAATAGATTAGTGTAAAAATGGGCTAAAATGTCATATAGGTGGTGGCCTCGTTGGCTAACATTTCCTTTCAATGCACTCCACTTTTAATGCTAAACTCACCCATCCATCACATCACCAACCAGTTTTCATTATTTCATTATCTGGTTATCGTGTGTGAAAGTGAAATAACTTTTAATTTTTGATCGATGATATATGTCTTAATTAGTTGAGAATGTTCTGACCATTTTTAAACAAATTTTTTGAATTAACTATCAATTAAGTTATTGTTTTGCCAAATGAAGTTGATTGTCTAAAAATTATCTTTAACAAGAACATTAATCACTTTCGAGAACGTTCTACGTAGGTGGGCTCATAAATGATAAACCATGCTCGTTGTACTCATTATATTCATGTGTGTTCATTGAGTGGTTCTTTACTTGAAAGTGTTGTCCCATTGAAGCGTGCACTCTCGGATCCTCTTTTACTTCTCCCTCCAACTCGTTTTTGTTTAAATACGTGTGAGATCACACATCGAATGGAGAGAGAAACGAAACATTTCTAATAAGGGTGTGGAAACCTCTCCCTAATAAACATGTTTTAAAACGTAAGGCTGACGGTAATACATAATGAATTTGGACGGTTATAAATGGTATTAGAGCTAGACACAGACGGTGTGTCAGCAAAGACGCTAGGCCCCTCAAGAAGGTGGATTGTGAGATCTCACATCAATTGGAAAGAAGAACGAAACATTCTTAAGAAACCTCTCTCTAGTAAACAAGTTTTAAAGTTGTAAGACTGACGGCGATACATAATGGATCAAGGCGAGCAAACAAACTAAAAAGTGTTTAGGAGATTGAAATTGGTTCGAATCAATGATTGGAATATAATCAAATAACTGAATCTAACGTATAATATAAGATTCAAACGAACCCGTGTTTTAAGTTTGGCATTTCAAAGTCAAATTGGTTATGTTGGAATAAAAGCATCCAATTATTCAATGTTTAGGAGGAGTTTATGTGTCCTTGTAGTATGTTAGGTGCAACCATTTAATTACTACTAGGGAGGCTGCATTATTCTAATTCTACTCATATAAGAACCCACCTAGGCTCCCAACATTAATCAATATCACAATGGGCATCACATTTCACCATCCAAATATATCTTATAATTGCATAATTCATGGACAACCTATCTCCCCAATTCAATCGAGTGTGTAACGGAGAAATTTTATGGGCAAAAACGCTTAGGACCAAGGGGGCGTAGCTGCTATTTCACCGAGAATCTCTATCGTTTATGCGTGAGGACCTAGCACGAATAAGGCAAATTATTGGATAATCGAAGAAATTTTTTTTGTTACTTGAATGGCTATTCTCCATCTTAGCTTTGTGCTTACTAGCTAGCAACAGATCTACCGTAGACCTAAAGAGCCTCCCCTGACATATGTCATTATTTTTTAACCTAAAAGGTTTGGTTCTTAAATTTTAGAAAGGATCTAACCCATCTCCAAACTTTAAAATGTGTATATTTTTGTGAGACCCCACGTAGATAGGAGAGGAAAACAAAGCATTACTTGTAAAAGTGTGAAAACCTCTCACTAGTAGATGTGTTTTAAAACGCTGACGACGATACGACGATACGTAACAAATCAAAACGTACCATATTTGTGAGATCGTGAAAATCTCACCCTAATATACGTATTTTTAAATCGTGAGGCTGAGTGCGATAAGTAATCAGTCAAAGCAAACAATATCTAGCAGTAGATTTGAGCTATTATAATTATGTATTTAATATGTCTATAAATTTTTAATTTTGTGTCTAATAGAACCTTCACAGAAATTCTAAAGTTTAATAGAAATATATGTGTCGTACGTGATTTAAATTTGTATCCTCAAAAGTCGGGAGGTAGGGATAATGGTCCCCTCTTAGTTTTGTCCTAATTCAATAATTCCTTAAAGTATATATAAATAATACTTCCAATTTTGTATTTTTCTCTAATTTGTCATTCCTAAATTTAAATATTTCAATATATAAAATTTTCCCTTCTTAATTATTCCATTTTTTATTTTTATGTCGTAGCTTCCATTCGTTTTTCTTATTTATAATATTACTCTCATACCGATGCCTTAATCGACTTAAGTTCTCAGGCATATCTAATAATAATTTTGAAATATTAAATTGATTTTAAATTATTAAATGCGTGTTTTAAACCATTTTGAATACAATAAAAGTGATTTTTGATCATTTTAAAATCTCTTAACAAATTTTTAAATATATTTATTAAACCAAAAAAATTTGTGATCAAATAAATATATCATTCACTAAAAAAAACTTAAAAATTAGAATTTGTTATGAAAAGAAAAAAAAAAAAAAAAATCATTTGCCAAACTTCAATAATGGCATACACTTTTTTCACATTTAAAAATGTCGTGGAACGCTAAAAAAAAAATATAATATTATTGTAGTATTAGAAAATTTTTGGCGACCGTTTTGTAGTTGTTCATATATATATATATATATATATTATCGGGATGGCGACAAAATGAGGTGGATAAAACAATTTTAATTTGTCTATATCTTTTTTTTTTTCCTTTTTTGTTGAATTATAAATTTAATTTGACCCATATAGGTTGGACAAAAAATTTAGTTTAATTCTTGATATATTTTTTTTAATTAAATTTATTCTCCATGATTTGGGCTTAACATAAATTTGGTGTTTAAGTTTAGTTTGAATTTGATCCTTAAATCTTGGTGAAATCTTGCAAGTTGTCCTCAAGAGTGTTTTATTCACTTAAAAAGCCCACTTGTGCTCTTTTATTTTATTTTTACTTACCCCTAATAATTAACTAAGACAATTATCCGAGTTGGGTGAAAAAAATATCATTGTCACGATCATATGTGAAATTTGGTATATTACCCACTTCGATTCACGGAACTATTTAATTCATTGAGTTCATCTTCCATATTATTACATTCTTTCATATTTGTATATAAATCATCTTGATTCATGTATGAACATTAGTATTGTGGTATTTACGTAAAAGTTTGTCTAACGTTGTCATGAGATGAGGAATGAGTGTCGTTTTGTATTTGCATAGAGACAATTGAGAGAAACTTTGAAACTAATATTTCGTAGCGTGAGAGATAGACTTCTAAATACGCTGGTTATAGTGATTGACTACCACACTATGTTTACGTAAATTTTTGTGTCTCTTTCGATTTTTTGGTTCGTGGGTGTGTAAATGCAATCGATAAATAAAGTTGGTTGTGAATAAGAAATGTAGAGATAAATGAAGCAAAGAATATAGAAAAGATGTCGTATTATATGGTAATTTTGTGAGAGAAACATATGCTTTTGGAGGGATTAATAAAGTGGCATCCATTTTAATGTGAGAGAGAAAGCGATGCCTTTTGGTGGATATGATTGGCATTGACTTCATTGTCCAAATGCATTTGTAAAGTTTTCAACTTTTCTTTAATATTATATCATTTATGTTGGGACTCTATACTCTATACTATGCCCACCCTTTTCCCTCCCTCAATCAATACCCTTTTCTATCTTTTTCAACACTCTTCTACCCTCTTTTCCCCCATTTTCATCCCTTTAATCTTCATAACCCACCGTTAGCAGGTACTATCGGGGGCTTATAAGGAGTGTTTTGTTTCCCTCTCTCTAACAAACGCGTTTTAAATACCATATATGCATATGGTACGATTTTAGTATATACCCTGGAGTTATTAACCAATAAGATGAATACCCAATTCCCCAGATTTTGACTTTGTTCTCAACATTAAATAATAATGTAGAGATCAGATTTACTTCTTCCCATGTCAATTTCTCGCATGTTCATACTCTCTTTCTCTCTCTCTCTCTCTCTTTAAGCGGTAAAGGATGAAATTTAAAGGAAAAGGAAAAGAAAAAGTCTTCCTTTTTGGTAAGCAAGTGAATGTGACGACAAAAAGAGAGAGTTTACCAGCTTGACACATTCAAAAGCCCTTCCTTTTTCTTTTCTGCATCGATTAAATCACTGTTTTTTTAACTAAAAATCAATCAATCTCTTCCTTCTTTATCTAATTCTTGAGGATTCTATGACAAAAGATAGTTTCTTGGATGCTGAAAGACAATGTGGGTATCTCCAAACCCCTCTCTTCCCCTTTCTAAGCATCCAATGTCTCCTTTATCCCTCTTTCATTCCTTTTGAGGCCACCCCTGCTTTTCTCTTACCTCAACCCTCTGTTTGTTTGATCTCAAATCACCCACATTTTTATATTCTTATTGGGTTTGATCTCAAATCTTATGTTCTTGAGAGATGACAATAAACAATGGAGCTTCTTTTTTGGTATTTGTAGATCTTTGTCTCTATGGATGGATCTCAAAATTTCACCAAGGATGTGTCCTGAGTTGTGAAAAATGATAGCCACCCATGTGACCAGTAACATGTTTTGGTGTTTTTTTTTTCTGGAAATCTGAATGAATTATTGAAAGATTAGGTTTCGTTAAAAAACAAATGCTAAAAGAGACAAATGTAAATGAAACAGATTACTATATGAAGTCAGCTAAGGGACAAGGAAGGAGAGAGCGGTCACCAACTCCCCACTGACATGCCAACAAGAGAAGAGAATGTGGAATTTTAATGGGCGATTCTATTCCTAACAATGGAGAGATTGGAGGTATTGTTATTTGTTTGTCGGTTTATTGTATTTTATTTGCCTCTAAACACTCTAATGAGCTTGTCGTTTTTACCTTCGGTTTGCGGGTCATGAAAAGTTGTCCACTTTCACAGCGTTTTGACATTTAAGGAGTCTACTGAGCTTGAATGTTTTTGTTAACTTTCCTTTTCTTCTTCGACTAAAGCTCTTCTCACAGCCAGCTGCTTTCTACCCTTTTAATGCAAAACCCCACCGCTTACAAAACCCATTGAATCATCTTCATTGGTCTAAAAGCTTGGTTTTTATAGCGCATTTATGGGTTTTATGAAACCCCATTTCACCTCTGTTGCTTGCTTTCTTCAGACGCTCGTGTCTTGAAGTGCCGTATCATCATCGCTTTCTGGTCACTCACAAAAGCTCTGTTTCTGTTGCTTGTTTGTTTATGGTGATGTCCCCTTCTTCTTCTTCTTCTTCTTCTTCTTCCCTTTGTCAGCGATTTACTGATAGAGCTGATTCTCAGATATGCTGTTTCAAGACACTGAAAACGGTGCCAAAATGCTGCAAAACATAGAGATGCCACTGCACAAGTGTTCCCTGAGGTTTGATTCTGATGCTGCTGTGGTTTTCTTTTCTTCAATCTGTGTTTAATTGAGTGGTTTTGTTAGTTATCTAGCAATGATTATTCCTTTTGTTCTGAACACACTTGATGTGGGCTTGAACTGGAAAGACTCCTTGGTTGGTTAAAATAGTAAAAAAGTCTAACAATTTGTTTCTGCTGGCTCACCAAACTTTGAAATCAGTGGTGTATTGAAAGTGATCTTGGTTCTCTGCTTCTAGAGCTGCATCTTTTGTTCTTCCTTGTTCTTCTTCAAGCTTCTCTTCTTCTTCTTCTTCAGATCTGTGATCTTTATACGGTTTCACTCGTTCTACCTTTTCTGTTCTTGGGTGAGAATAGTAGAATATGGACCCACGTCGGTTGGAGAAGCGAACGAAGCATTCCTTATAAGAGTGTGGAAACCTCTCCCTAGTATACGCGTTTTAAAGACGGCGATATACCTGTTAGCGGTAGGCTTTGCCCGTTACAAATGGTATCAGAGTCAAATATCCGACGGTGTGTCAATGAGGACACTGAACCCCTTAAGAGGGTGGATTGTGAGATCCTACATTGATTGGAGAGTGGAACGAAGCATTTTTTATAAGGGTGTGGAAACCTTTTTCGAGTAGACGCATTTTAAAACCGTGAGACTAATGACGATACGTAACGGGTCAAAACGGACAATGCTTGCTAGGTTCAAATATTGAATCTTGGCTCGGTCTTCACACCTATTATTCTGTATCTTCTTAATATGCATCTCAAATGGAATCCAAAGGCCAAGGTCTTGTCCTCTCCATTTCTGCATTTTAATTCTTCTTTGCTGTTTTTGCATTGTCAGCTTTGTAGAGATGGTCAAGGATACTATTGAGGAAGAACAGTTGGATAACTCCTTTGAAGCTTCGAATCGTACGAAGCTGGTAAACATAGCTTGTATAATCCTTCTACTTAACAGTTATGTATCATATTTGAAGTTTGTTTTCCGGGTTGTCCTAGGACGGGAGCTACTTCGACGAATCCGTGAAGACAAAGACGAAGAACTTCCCGAAAACTAACATACACTTCTCTCTTAAACATGAGGTAGGCACAGAAATGTTCTGAACAAGGCTAGATTCTGCAGTTCATCACCTTCATATATTTTTAACTATGTAATGTAGATTCTTCAGCTTGAACAGAGATTGCAAGACCAGTTCAAGGTTCGCACTGCACTCGAAAATGCATTGGGATATAGATCGTCTTCACAAGACAACACGAACGACATCGAAGTACCAAAGGTAACTCCCTTAAAGTGTTGGGTTTAGTACAATATCATAATCTATAACAGCCCAAGCCCACTGCTTAGTAGATATCGTCCGTTTTGGCCCGTTATGTATCGTCGTCAGCCTCACGGTTTTAAAATGCATCTACTAGGGACGGTGCAAGGAACTAGTCGGAGTAGGGCTAGACCCATAGTAGACGCGTTTTAAAACCGTGAGATTGATAGCGATATGTAATGGGCTAAAGCGGACAATATCTATTAGTAATGGGCTTGAATTGTTACAAATAGTATCAGAGCTAGACACCGGGCACTGAATTGATACATATTAAAAGCTGCTTTGATGACTACAGCCTGCCACTGAATTGATAAAAGAGATTGCAATATTGGAACTGGAAGTTTCACATTTAGAACAATATCTTCTGTCTTTGTATCGAAAAGCATTTGATGGACAAATATCCTCTACATCTCCTACCACCGTCGACGAAAAACTAAAATCGCCTAAGAACTCCCCGAAAGCCAAGTATATTGCGAATTGCGTACCTGACATTACGTCGAAAAAAGAAGACAAAGCTGTTCAGTCTGGCTATGATTCTTTTGGAAAGCCTATGAAGGAATATAGGGGAATTTGTGAAGACAAGCTGTTGGACTCCAGCGTTCGTCGTTGTCAGTCATCGCTATCACATTATTCGGTTTGTTCAAAGAGAACTTCTCTTCCAGAAGATTTTTTGGGACAAGATGTACGACCTTGTCTCTCCCAGCCAACGTCCATGGTCGAGGTAACCTCGTATCCATCGAATTTCACTAGAGAATTTGCTCTCTTGGAGACATAAATGTAATAAGCTTATCTCATTCTTTCATGATTTATGGTTCCTCTTCTGCAGTTTGCTCAGAATGCTTCATCCAATCTAACCAGTCTAGCAGAGTACCTCGGTGCTCAAGTTCTCGACCATACTCCCGAGAACGCCAATCGTCTTTCTGAAGACATGGTCAAGTGCATATCAGCCATATATTGCAAACTTTCAGATCCTCCTTCATCACATCATGGTCTTTCCTCTCCAGTTTCATCGTCGTCACCAACCAGCGCATTCTCTCCGCAGGATCAGTACGACATGTTGAGTCCCGGGTTCAGAAACAATCCATCTTTTGATCCACGGTTGGATAATCCTTTTCACGTCGAAGGTCTCAAAGAGTTCAGTGGCCCGTATAGCACAATGGTTGAAGTGCCATGGATCTATAGGGATAGTCAGAAATTGATCGAAAGCGAACACTTGTTACAAGATTTCAGGTAAGCAACATGTGGATGTTTGTATGTAATGTGATTGCTTATTCATCGTATGACGAGTCGTTATTCTCGTACGTTGTCAGGTCGCTTATATCCAAGTTAGAGGAAGTCGATCCAAGGAAGTTGAATCATGAGGAAAAGCTAGCATTTTGGATCAACGTACACAATTCTCTGATGATGCATGTAATGATTTTTCATAACTTGAATTCATTCCTTCTTTTTAGTTCTTCAGAGACAGTCAGGCTATAATATCTACTTTGTTTTCTGAAAGGCATACTTGGCTTATGGTGTACCACAAAACAATATGAAGAAGGTCTTTGTTCACTTGAAGGTAAAACACGAGTCCTGCTGATCCGTTATGATTCGTAAATTTTGTATGATTATCGTGTTCTCACGTTCTTCCTCCGTTCAGGCTGCATATAACATAGGAGGTCAAACAATTAGTGTCCACACGATACAAAGTTCGATACTTGGATGCCGAATGCCTCGGCCTGGACAGGTAAGCTGTGAGATCCCACATCGATTGGAGAGGAGAACGAAACATTTCTTATAAGGGTGTGAAAACTTTTTCCCTAATAGACACGTTTTAAAACCATGAGGCTGGTGGTGATACGTAACGGGCCAAAACGGATAATATCTACTCGTGGTGGTCTTGAGCTGTTACAAATGGTATTAGAGCCATACACCAGATAGTGTGTCAGATAGTGTGCCAGTGAGGACGCTGGGCCCTCAAGGGGGGTGGATTGTGAGATCCCATATCGATTGGAGATGGGAACGAAACATTCTTTATAAGGGTGTGAAAACCACTCCCTAGTAGATGCGTTTTTTAACTGTGAGGCTGACGGAGATACGTAATGAACTAAAGCGGATAATATCTTCTAGCGGTGGGCTTAGGAATGTCGCTGACAAATGTGTAGATAGTTTGAGTTCTTATGATCAACATAAAGTGATAAGTTTCTTCGGTTTGCAGTGGCTCTCTCTTCTTATTCCCTCGAAGTCGAGATTCAAAAGCGGAGATAAACGACAAGCGTACAAAATCCACCGGTCGGAACCCCTTTTACATTTTGCACTTTCTACAGGCTGCCATTCTGATCCTGCGGTATTGAAAACATCTCTGCAAAGTTTCTTGTTTCTGTTTCTTACATAGAGTCATATGTGGTCTTGTCTTAAAGTCTCGGACATTCTGCTGTGTTCCAGGTTCGTGTATACACTCCCAAAACAGTCCTACAGGAGCTAGAGACAGCAAAAGACGAATACATTCGAGCGACATTCGGCATACGCAAGGACAAAAAAGTCATTTTACCCAAGATCATCGAGTTATTTGCAAAAGAATCAAGCTTGTGCACAGCTGGTATGATGGAAATGATCCAAAAGTCTTTGCCTGAATCTCTTAGAAAAAGTGTTTCGAAATATCAAAACGGGAAGTCTCGCAAGAACGTCGAATGGATGTCGCACGACTTCAGTTTTCGGTATTTGATATCCAGGGAAATGGTGAACTGACACAGCAGCTGCTTAAATGATGCTCTCATGAACTGATCCCCTTGAATGGTTTAGAGACAATAGAAGGGTTACATATTTTCTTCCTTCTGTACATACCACAGTCCACTAAACCGAGCGGCGCGGAGAGCAGCAAAAGGGCAGCATCCTGAGGCATTCTCTACCTTCTACATTTTGTAATCTTCTCAATGTTGTGTGTGTTGATACCATCTAGGATTTCATATTTTTTGTTGTAAATAAATTTGAGTTTGAAGCTCAGTTCGTTTGTGATAAATAGTTAGTATATCAATGTATTTTCTTGACGAGTCTATCGAATCTCGGATCGTTCCTCAATATCAACTTCATGGTTGCTTCCAAATATTTAATACAATGGTTACTTAGCCATAAAATTATTGTGACCGATGTGTTTGGTCGAAGTTTTTTTAGTTACAAATACATGGGGTGGGAAATTGAACCTCTGCGTGAGATCTGCGATTGAAGAGAGGAACGAGTGTCAACAAGGATGTTGGGCTCGAAAGGGAGTAGATTGTGAGATCTCATATCGATTGGAGAGAGTAATGGGAGACCAGCAAGGAAGCTGATCCAGGTGGATTATGAGATATCATATCGATTGAAGAGGGAAATGAAGCATTTTTTTAAGAAAGGTGTGGAAACCTTCCTATAGTAGACACGTTTTAAAATCTCGAGAGGGAAGTCAAGAAGGAAAAGGAGTATAATATTTTAAATGTAGTTGAGAATATAAGGTTGAATGTGAAACGGATAAACTGGTTTGTTTATTGGGCCTACCGTCCACGTTAAGCCCAATTCTGCTCCATATTTGTAAATCGGGGCCCAATCTCTCTAAAAATTGGGCCTGGAATCAACGTTAAACCCAATTTGAGTCAGTAGTGGGGTTTCCATAGTGTTGTAAGATGTTTTGTCATCTTGATAACAAAAAAATAAAAAGGACAAACAAAAGGGTATCTAAATGCATATACTTTTTTGGGGTTTAATCATATCATAGGATTCCCATTGGATAAGGATACTCATCCCTTCCTTCCTTCACCACCAGTAAACGTTACCGAAAAAATCATGAGCTTATAAATAAGAAATACTATCTTCGTCAATATAACACATTTTTCAAATAATATCTTACTAACATAATAATAATAATAATTTTGCAAAAACTGGAAAATCATTCCATCCAATTAAAGAAAAATAATTTACAAAAATAGCATCAGGAATAATAACTTAAATTTAAATATATTTTTATTAAAAAAAAAGAAGAAAAAAGAGTGTTTTGTGTGTGTGTGTGTGTGTGTATTATATGCAATGCCAAAGCACCCCAAAACAAATAAGTACTGCTCTGCCCCACTCTGAATCATTGTCCTCTTTTTCTCTCTGGCTATCGTTAAATTACATTTCCACCCATCAAATTCTCCACCCCATTTTAAATCGAGTGAAATTCTTATTTATTCATTTAATATACTTTTTTTTTATTACACTCTTCTATTTATAAATTTTCTACAAATATTATAAAATTGAGCCACCTCCTATCAACAATGATATTTAATATTTACTTTTTTTTTTTTTAATTTTAAATATTAAGATACTTAAATAAATAAAAAGTACATAAATAAATCGAAATCACATATAAATAAAGATAAATAAGGATAATCATAATAATATGATAGTTTAATAAAAAAAATTAAAAGAATTCAAAGTTACGAAATGAAATGTAGCTAGCTTTAAAATTAAATAAGTTATTTTAAAATTATGTATTTATTATTTTAGAGTTAAATGGCAGATTGATTGGTAATAAATCAAATGAAAGAACAAAAAATACCTTTTTATTATATTTGGAAGATCATTGGCGAAGAAGTGTTAGTTATTGGTTTTTATAATATATATAATATAGAGAGAGAGAGAGAGAGAGAGAATTAAATAATAAATTTATTGAGAATAAAGCACGTGGATATGCTTCAGAGACAAGGATCGGCAACTTGCACATAATTAACGTTGGTCAAGTCAATGTCACGTTGAATCGTATATTCATTGTCCCCTTTCTTCATTATTATTATTATATGTTATTTGCTCAAGTCACAAAATCCTAGGAATTCACTATTAAATAACATTTTATTCACAGGGGTTTGTTTAACTATAAATAAATAAATATTTTATATAATATAGCTAAATAATAAAGATAACTTTAAATTATACCTTTTCTTTACAAAATATTTATAAAAGCTTTTAATAATATTTTAAAAAATCTAAAAAAATACCTTTAATTTTTTTTTTAAATAAAAAATATTATTACAATTAATCAAAAATACTTTTAGGCTTTTTAAAAAAAATTAAAATACCTTCTCCATTCTTAAAAACTTTTCAAATATTTTATTAATACTCTTAAAAACAAGATTTTAAACGTACTTAAATGTTTAAAATATTAATTTCTTACTTTAAAATAATTAAATAAAATTATTAGAAACTTTAACTAATAATTAATCTATAATTTGGTGTAGAGATACATGCATGTTTTCGGTTTGTATTCGTTTTTTGTGAGGACTCTAATTATTTTACAAGTAGTTAATGATTCTATTTTATCATTTTATTAAAATTATGAGTACGAAAATTCAAATTTAATAAAATTTTACTTCTTAATTAGGAAAGAATTTTATTGAATATATGTCTACTTTATTTAACAATTAATATTGAATACTATTTCAAAGAATATTGTCGTACGTGAAACTACTAATTTGCCCTTACCCACAAATATATGCAGCTGGCTTCTGACTACTCTATCAATTCTTCCTAATCTGCCTAAGATTAATCAACCCCTACTTAAATACTTTTTAATTCAGCTAAATTGATATTCTTGGAAATGGCATTTTTCTCACATGCTAACGTTATAATCCTTATAAATTTTCTAATTTTAATCGAAGTTGTTAAACGAGTGTCATTACGAAAAATCATTCTAAATATCTCCTCGTAAAGAACAACGAAAAATCTCATATCATTGATGATGACGACGACAAAACAAAAAATTATAGCATAATCTTAAAGTCATGTTGACATCGACTTGGCTAAAACCAAACGTTTTTATTTTTTATTACTTTTATAGTTTGGTAGGTCGGTTTTAGCTATATATTCCAATTTTTCTAATTAAAAATATTGAAAGTTGTATGTGTTGAGGATTATTGAGATGAGTAATCCTACGTTGCCTAGTTAAAAAAAATACTCATGGGTCGTAAGTAAGAACATCATCTCTATTAATACGAGACTTTAGAGTTTGGTCAAAGTGAACAGTATTGCACTAATGTAGATGCAATACTTATTTAAAGTTACTCGAGTATTGAATAAAAAGTTTATTTCGTTCGAGGACTGTATCTCGGTTAAGGGAATAAAAATAGGAGTGGCAAGTTGAGGTCCATCAATGGTCCTCACTATCTCTTCCCCCACTACGTTATGAAGCATTTGTGTCCAAAAAATGATGTATGGAGACCAAAATTTAAGGGCTGGACCTTGAAACAGCAACCAAATGGACCATTTAATATTAATCAACCAATTATGTCCTTTCACTTTCCTCACTTCTTCCAATATTCTCCTTTGCCCATGCCTTCTTTATCCATTCCACATTAATCAAAATAATGTTTTTTTTTTTTATCCTTTTAAAATAAAAATATCGCATAAATAAATGATTTATTTAGACATTCAATTTTTTTTTCATTATTTCAACCTAAATAATAATGATAATAAAAGAAACATTCTTCCAATTGTATTATTTTCTCTAATATTTAATATAGAAAAAGAAATAGAAGATAGCCAAAAATTTTATACCGATTATATAGTTTAGATCTAAATTATTTTATATCTAAATTATACCGATTATAATAATGGTATAATTATTAATCAAATAATAGCCATGATATATACTGAAAACTATATATATATTCTATAAGCAAAGGGTAAAATTGTAAATTCATCTCAGAAAACCGACATAAAAAATGAAAAAAAGACTAATTTATTTCTATCGTTTTATTTTTGGAAGTGCTATAATCTTAACTGCTATTTTAAACAATAAACGAAGATCCAAAAGTCCTATTGTTGTTTACCTGAAAAAAAAAAGAAAAAAAAAAAAAAACTAACCAAAATATCTAAACCAACCAGTTCCTATTTCCCCAATATTTACACAATAAACGCACGGATTTACCAAAAACGACCTACTCAGGAATCGCCGTCAAATTCGCCGCGAATTTTTTTCTTCCACGGCCGGCGACTACTCGTTTGCGACTCTTGAGTTCCTTAGCCGTGAAAACCACCGGAGACACTGATCTCCGGCGGTTGCCATATTTGTCTCCTGCGCCACGTTTCATGAGTGCAGCGCTGGCCTTGACGGCCAATGCGGCCATTTCCTGGGGCTGAAGCGGCTGCTTCAGCCTACTCAATGGCAGTGCAAAATAGAGCTGTCCGAGTTGAAGCTCTTCGTCGTCGCCAATGGCTAACAAGGCGTCATCGAAATCCATATCGTCGGAGTTGCATATAAAGCACGACGGATTCTTTTGAAGAACGTACGAAACCTTGATTGGATAAGAAAATTCCTGCAAGCTTCCGTCGTGAAGGATCAGTCTGGCGGTGGCCACTGAAGTAGATTCCGATGAACTGCAAATACCCATTAACGGCGGCGCGTCGCGGCGGAGAGAGGAGACTGCGACAACCAGGGGATTTGGGAGGCGCTAGGGATTGGGAACGCTGATTGTATTTATATAGGGAAGGTGGGGCTCACGGTTTTTAAACTGCGTGCACCACGTAGGACTGGTCAAACAGTAATGTGGGCCCCCGTTTTTTTTTTTCTTTAATTAATAGTGGGGACTGCCAGGCTGGGAGTTGGTCGTGACAGGTTGGATGGGATTTGCATTGTGTACTTCCAATAATGACCCTACTCATTATATTTATTACCTAACCGATGTCAATTATTCATTTTTTCGCCGTAAAAAATCAACGTTTTAGTTAAAAAGGTAACGGTTAAAATTCTATTTTAGTCTAGATTTATTTTAATTATTATTGGTTCAGTTGTGCAGAATAAGAATTTTGTTTTAGTTTTCGAAGTCTACAAATGTCATTTCACATCCATTATTTTTTATTTCGAAATATTTTAAAATGATATTTTAATATATTTGACCTGACTGACGTGGAATTTTTAATCGATTTGGTTAAATATAATATATTTTATTTTGGCATTTCCACTTTCCCTTCTCCCCTCCCCTACCTTCCATCTCCGGCCAGACAGACCACGACTAGCCAGG